AGCTCCAGGCGGGTGGGAAGGGCCGGGGCCGGGCTCCAGGCAGGCGGGGAGGGCCGGGGAGCTGGGGCTGTGGGCCGTGGGCCAAGCCCCAGGTGGGCACGAGGGGCCAGGCCGTAGGCCGAGATCCAGGCAGGCATGTCACTGTCACTCGTGCCGGTCAGGCCGAGCTGCAGGGTGTGCTGATGCAGGCGGAGCGGGACACGAGGGCGCATGAGGAAAAGCAGCAGAAAATGGAGCAACTGCTGGATCTGCGTGGCACCCGCATCCACCAGCTGGAGGGTAAATTGGCAGCGGCCCCTGGAGTGATTCTTGCCCTGCTGGAGCCTGAACCTGGGCTCTGGTTCCCTTCCCCCCAGGCTGTGCTGGGCCCTGCCTGCCCTGTGCCCATGGTTCCTGGCCCCCAGAGCACATTGGGTGCACATGGGCTGGCAGGCAGGCAGCTACACTGGGTTTGTGGGCACTGGTCCTGCCAGAAGGGGGAAGATATTGAAAGAGACCATGCATAGGAATGGCCACACTGAGCAAAGGCCCATCTAGCCCAGTGTCCTGTCTGCCCACAGTGGCCAATGCCAGATGCCCCAGAGGGAGTGAACAGAACCGGGAACCGTCAGATGATCCCTCCTGTCACCCCTTCCCAGCCCCTGACAGAGACTAGGGCCCCCATTCCTACGCCTGCTGGCTAATAAGCGTTGATGGACCCAACCTCCGTGAACGTATCTAGTTTTTTCGAACCCTGTTCAAGTCCTGGTCTTCGGACAAGGCGAGGCAGGGGACGTGTGCACCCCTCACAGGCTGCTGTCTTCTGCCCCAGATCAACTGAAGGTTCTGGCTTATGGGGGACAGCTGCGGGTCCGGCCAACTGAGTGTGCCGTGGCTGTGGAGGAGGAGAAGACCCCGCTGCTGCAGAGTGGGGAGAGCCTGCTTGAGCTGCACGTAGCAGGGGCGGTGCTGTCCCAGGCGGCCCTGCAGCTGCTGGGGGAAGCTGAGCCCCTCACCTTCTGCACCTATGCCTTCTACGACTTTGAGACACACTGCACACCAGTGGTCCGTGGGGCCCAGCCGCGCTACTGCTTCACGTCTCAGTACGTGGTCCGGGCCGAGCCCCTCTTCCTTCAATACCTGCAGGAAGCCGCTGCCCGCCTCAACCTACACGTAGCCACGGCCGCCGACCACCGCACGCTGGCTTCCTGTTGGCTGCGCTTTGGGGAGAGGCTGGGCAGCGGGGAGCGCGTGTGCGCCACAGCCGTGCTACATGGTAAGCACTGTCCCTCGGTCACAGGCCCGGGCAGCGCCAGTCCGTGCAGGCAGCAGCCGGCTGGCACCAGCAGGGATCCCCAGGCCCCAGATTGTATTAGCCCAGCTGGCCCCCCAGTAACATCTCCCCATGGCCCAGTCACTGTCGCACGCTGGTGTGGGAAGTGACGCCCTGGCCCAGTCCTTCTGGTGTCAGAAACCAGCCATGTGCTAACCCTTCCCTCCTCCCCTGCTGCCCCCATTCCCTGTCCCCTGGCCTTTCAGTGCACACTGCCTGTGCCCTCCCTGCCCCCCCAGGCCCAAGCGGCGAGGACTGTGGGATGCTGGAGTACTGGATGAGGCTGCGCCCCAAGGCCCTGGGCTACTTCCAAGCCTGCGTGCCCCGGGCCAGGGCAGCCCAGCGGAGCAGGCAGCAAGAGCTGGAGGGGGTGAGGATGCTGGGGCGCACATGGGGGTGGAACACATCACTGTCTTGTGTGCTGCGGGAAAGGTGCCCCAGAGAAGGTCTGGGATCCCTGTAGGGACATAGTCCCACCCCCCAAGGGGGCTCCCAGCCACCATGAGGGACGCATGCTCCACGCTAGGAGCTCTCTGGCACCCGTCAGAGCAGGAGTCCTGCAAGGGAGCCTCAGGCACTCCCTGGCTGCATCTAGACTGGCAAGTTTTTCCGCAAAAGCAGACTGGCCACTTGATTTTGCGCAAAAGCACTGACGTTCTACTGTCCGAAATCAGTGCTTCTTGCGCAATGCTTTGACCTTCCCGTTTGGGCAAAAGCCCTTTTCTGGAAATGTTTTTGCGCAAGAGGGCCAGTGGAGACAGCTGAAAACTGTTTTGCACAAAAAACCCCGATGGCGAAAATGGGGATCGGGGCTTTGTGCAAAACCGCATCTCGATTGGCACGGACTTTTGCGGAAAAGCGTCCTGCCAATCGAGACGCTCTTTTCCGCAAATGCTTTTAACAGAAAAACTTTTCCGTTAAAAGCATTTGCGGACAATCATGCCAGTCTAGACGTAGCCCCTCTGTGTGGCAAAGCTGGGATTTCTATGGGATGCAGATGGGACCCCAATTCCCAACTGTTCTTGGCCTCCCCCTTCAGGGCCCGGAGCTGCTGTGGAATGAGCTGCAGGTACAGATCAGGGGCTGTGCTGGCCTGCGGGGTCGCTGGCTTGGCAGCCCACCCAGTCCCTACGTCATGTACCGCTTCTTCACGTTCCCCGACCATGATACGCCCATCGTCCCCTCCAGCAGCCACCCATACTTCGGCGACCTGCGCACCTTCCCCCTGCGCCCCACAGCCCAGCTCAACCGCTATCTGCGGCTGGAGAGCCTCCACGTCTACGTCTTCGATGATGAGGATGCTGAGCCCGGGTGTTACTTGGGCAAAGCCCAGATCCCTCTGCTGCCTCTGGCCCGCGGGCACAGTATCACAGGTGAAAGCCACCCCTAGGCTCAGCTCCTGTGTGGCTCAGGAGGCACAATTCCCCTGGCCTCAGTGCCTGGTGCCCACAGCCCTGCCCCCTCACCTCTCCTGGTCTCTGCTCCTCAGGTGATTTCGTCCTCACCGACCAGGCCAGGCACCCCACTGGCTCTGTCAGCCTCAGCCTGGAGTGGAAGCGTCCGTATCTGCCCCCGGGGCTGGCCTGGGCCAACGAAAATCAGCGCACCAGCCCCATGGAACAGCTCCTTGAGAACGGACAGGCTGCACAGCCCAGCCAGGTACAGCACCGCCCAGGAGCGCCGCGTTAACACCTGCCCCAGGGGGAGCAGGGGCTGTGGGTTAGTGCTGCGGCAGCTGGGAACCAAGACTTCTGGCTTCCCCATAGCTTTCTTTGCTCTGCTAGGGGATGCTGCCACCCCAGGAACAGGCAAGTGCGAGTGTGGGGGGGGGGGGGAGAGCGGCCAGGCTAGACTCGCTTTGGCTGCTGCTCGGTCCCCTGCTCAGCCTTGGCTTGCTCCCCACATCTGACCAGAGGAGCCCACAGGCCAGAGGAAGCGCCACCTCTCGGCAGCCAAGTCTGACAGCTGCAGGGCAAAGTGGGGCATGTGGGGGGGGAGCCAGCAGTGCGGTTCACCCCTCTCCAGGGTCAGTCCCAGGGCATGGAGAAGAGGTGACAGGCTCCCATGGGAGACTCAAGTGAGGTGACGGCTGGGGAGCGGGACGCAGGAAGCAGGCAGCGAAAGTGCAGCAACCCCTTGTCCTTGCCAGCGCTGCCCCCACCTGAGGGGAAATGTCACCAATAGGGATGTGAGAGCTGGGACCCCCCAGCTGGGCAGGCAGCCTCACTCAGTTCTGGCTTGCGCTGGGACCAAACCCTGCTGCAGGTCTGCAATTTACAAGGCAGTAGGAGCTGGGCAGCCAGCCCCTGGCTACTACTGCATTTTAAATTGCAGAGCCACTGCAAGGTTTGGCCCTTGACCCAGCACAAGCCAGGACTAAGCAGGGCTGCCTTCCCCTATCGAATAATCAATAACAGTGCTATTGACTACTGAATTATTAAAGTAACCTCAATGTAACATTCCTAGCTACCAAGGGGTGGGAGACACTGGGCCCAGCCAGCAAGTAGAAGAGACGATTTAGAAGGCGACACAGACACAGCATACAACAGATTTGTCAGTGCAGGAACCAGAAGCAATCAGGACAATCCATCTTGGAGAGAGAGGATCTAACCCCACCTGAGTTCCCGCTAACATTTTCTATCCACTGGTGGGTTGACATTTCTTATGTGCAACACCAATATTGCAGTAGTGTGGATGTGCACCACCAGTACAAACAAACACACACACACACACACACACACACACTAAGCAGTCCATATATGTAGAAGAAAATATATTAAAACAAGGGCTAGGTAACAAGGAGCAATGTTTACAATATGAAGTCAAATAAAAAAAGACAACACTACCCTTGGAGTACATGTATTATCAGATAGTATAACAACTCAAGCTAGTAAATGCATATTATCCATACATAACTCAGCTTTAAGATGCTAACCAAGTCGGAATCAACTAGAAATAGTATTTGCAAGGAGAGCATGACTAATAATAATATTTACTGACACTGGAAAAGAGTGTAAAAGATATTCACTAAGGCTTATACAGTTTCTCTGGGGAATGTTTAGGATCCATGCTTAAAAGCAGATAAAAGTTTTCCTGGTTTGAAATTTTCATCTTGTGTGTCACCAACTTAATTTGTTCTGAGGCTTATACTCTTTAACATGTGGCTTCATGATTTGTAGACAGATGCATGTTTCAAAGAGCTTGCAAGTAAAGTTTCATCCTACAGAACAATTAACATCATACCTAGTACTTGCTACTTCTGACTCATAAGAGTCAGAACTCTACCACACAGCAAAGATCTGGCCTTAATGGAATACATTTTGCCATTTGTTAATTAGTGACACAGGCATTAAAAAGCCATTAAGATCAGTTTTAGATATCTGCCACACTCCAAAAAAAGACTGTTAAAAGAATCTTTTTCTTTCTTACCTTAAGCCATTAACACCGATGTAAACTTTGTTTGAAATGTGATCATGCAAATGTCCTCCCCGCCCATACAGCCTACTTTCCCCTCCACCCCAGCCACCCACCCAGGGAGGACTGCAGGCAGTGAGTCAGGAAACCCTAAATGAACTGCCCCTGACTCCACCTCACTGCACAGATGCCAGCCCCTCCACCTCTCTATAATCTGCTCCCCTCTCCCCACCCAGCTGGGGTAAAATCCTGCTTCTCAAACTAGCAGGCACCAGCAGTTTGGGGAACCAGGACAGGACAATCCAATTATCCACACTTCCTCCCAGGACACAGCACAAACTCTTCCCCTTCCACCGCACCCATCCCCCCCTCTATTTCCCCCACCTACCCCATGTGGTCAGCCCCATTCCCAGGAGGCTTGAGAAGACTGCTGGGTTTCTGCTTCTGCCTCACCTCACACAGATGGGACTCTTCAAACTCCCCTCCCCTCTGATTTCCTCCCAAGCCAATTAATTAATTACTCCCTCTCCCCAACCACTTATTCCCTTGCCTCCATACCTGCTGTGGGAGCTCATTCGTTCAAGCATGCAGCTCCCTCTGTTTAGCTGCTGCTTAGCCGAGCTCCCTCCCTGGGTGGGAGCTTTGAACATCTGATTGGGGTTCACTAAACAGCTGCACAGCTTACAGGACACTTTGGCCCTGACTCCTCCCCCCCAAATCAACCCCATTGCCCCACTCTCAGCTCCTGGTCCCAGCCAGGCTTCTCCTCCCGCCTTTGTCCAGCTTGGCATCACTTGCTCCCTCCTGGGCTCAGGTTACAAAGGGCATCAGCACTTGTGTACCTGAGGCGACACACACACTGAAATTCCCATCCCATCTAGGTATTGCTGCAGTGCCCTGGGAAACTGAGGCACACATGCAAGGCTACCGCAGGCTAGTAGAATTCATATGCAACATAAGGAAAATACCCCCCCCCCATTTCATCCCAGGGAGCCAGCTACTCCTTAGCAAGATGCCGCCATGGGCCAGATGCCAGGAACAGGTTTCACATGCAGTAACATGCACACAGAAACAGTCTGTGGGTTGCTCAAAAGTGGCTGGCACCCAGATTCGGCCTGGAGGCCACTTACTGCCCTGCCCCCCATCACACAGTGGGGCGCATTGCTAAGGGCTGGGCCACGAGAGCCTGGCAGCAAGAGCTGAAGGGTGTTTGTGTCTGGGCAGGAGACCCCAGCAGCGAGGGAGGCCCAGGCTGGCGAGGAGGAAGCAGACCATGCAGCGGAGGATGGTGAAAACCTGGCCAGAGGCCAGCACTTGGAGCCCAGATCCCTCCAGGACACAGGTACCAGCCAACTCCTGCCTGCACTGGGGCACCAGCTGTGAGTGCCAGCCCAGCCTCGCTCACCCAGGCCAAGCTAGAGCCATGGATGGGGGCAGCATGGGCTGGCCGTCTGTCTGTGGTGGGAGGAGACACATTCAGCCATCGAGCTGAGTTCTAGGAGAGCCAATGCAGGCAGCCCTGACAGCTCTCAGTGCCCAACCCCACGCCAGCTGCAGCCATCCCTGCCCCAGCTATGTGGGGTGGGTCAGGGCCATCTAATTCCCTCCCCCCCATAACAAGCAGTCCCTTCCTGCAGCCCGTGTGGAGGCCTGTGAGCCAGCGCTGGACAGCGACGCACAGACCACAGACAGCGACGAGATTGTGGTGGGGACCCACCTAGGCAGCCCTCCAAAGGCGGTAATGCCCCCACCCCTGAGGCATGGCGGGGGCTGGTGAGGGGAGAGAAGCCCTGCCAGGTACAGGAGAATCAGGGCAAAGTGTGTGTGTGTGTGTGGGGGGGGGGCCATCTCCAACTTGTAGGGCCAGTGCTGAGCTGTGTGGGGGTGTGGATGAGCACAGAAGGGAGCTTGGCTCTGCCAGTCTCCCCCCGCAAACAGTTTGGAACCAATTCCCAGCCTCCAGTGCTGGTTGAGCAACTTGTGCCTCACCCTGCAGGGGATCCGCATTGAGATTGTCTCTCTGCGGCTGCACCCTGCAGCCGAGGTGCTGGCCAGCGAGCATGTCCAGCAGCTCTACGTGGAGTTCCACTTCCCTGGGGTGCCCCTGGCCGAGACGGAGACGCCCCTGTCACTGCGCAAGCCCCAGAGCGGCGAGGAGATCTACTTCCACTTCAGCAAGGGTAAGTGGCTCAAGGCAGAGTGGGTGGCTCTCACTGCATGGGGGGCAGCCTCTGGCTCTCGCTCCACAGAGGTGTTATGGGCCACAGCCCTGGCTCTCGCTCCACATGAGTGACAGGGGGAGGGGAGAGGAATGGAAGATACTGCCCCTGGCTATCAGTCCACATGGGCAGCAGGGGCAGGGGGAGGAGGGATACAGCCCCTGGTTCTTCTTTGAGCTATGTTGCTTATGTCCATGCCACTTAGGTGTGCGTGCGCCACACGCGTGAGTTCCAGAAGCATTTTACTCTTAGCAGTACCCGTTGGGCCAGCTGGGGAGCTGCCTGGAGCACACATAGACCCCTGCTGGCCCTCCACCCCTGGTGTGGAAGCTTGGTTTGCTGTTTGCAGGGTGCCCTTTTATCGTGTGTAAATAGTTTCAATTAGTTCCGTGTCGTTTAAGTTACGGTGTTGATTAGACTAGTTCTTGGGTAGTTTCCACCCTCCCCCCCGCTCAAAGGGGGGTATGCCAGGGCCCCAAGGCTTCACGTCCTGTGTGTGGTGCCTGAAGCCGATGTCCTGTGGACATCCACCAAGGGACGTCTGAGGCGCCTCGGTGAAGGTCATTTGACGGACTCCTGCAGGATCTGCAAGGCCTTTAAACCAAGGTCCAACAAGTGTGACTCCAGTCTTAAGTTACTGCTGATGGAGTCGGCACTTCAACCCGTGGCACTGGAACCAGCACCGCCAGTGAGGAGTGTCCCGGGGTCGGTATAGGGTGTAGGAGCCATGTTGAGGCCCTCTGTGGCATCGGAGCAACAGTTGGCATCCAGGCACCGGTCCCTGGCACCAAGTGCTGGGAAGAAGGCATGAAGAGGGAGATTTCCTTCGAGATAGGACTGCGGGTGTGTTTGTGAGGGGGATTCCCTCTGGCTTCATCCTCACCTCGGGGATGAGGAGGCTCCTGTGCACCGTCGGCACAGGTCGATCCCTACACAGGCAATTAGCCCTGAGGTCCAAGACGTGTCCATGGAGGAGGTCCCACAGCCGTCAACCCCGGATACGTTTCTGGTGGCCCAAAGTTGATTGCATTTACCCACTCCCACCAGGATCCTCGGTGGTGCAGGCTGCCTGCCGAAGGGAGCGGCAGATGGGCCCCACTCCTAAGAGAAAGGAGCCTAAAAAGTTCAACCTCTTGGGGTGAAAGGCGCATGCGATGGCCGGTCTGCCGCTGAGATTGCAAACAAGCAAGCGATGCTCAGCAGATATAACTCCTGGGTGGGGGTCGATCAGTTCAAGTCCCAACTCCCGCAGGAATTGCAACAAGAGTCTGAGGTGTTGACAGAGGAGGCGGCAAGGTTGTGTCCCGCCCGACCCAACAGGCTGCGCTGGGTGCCGCAGACTCCACGGCATGATCAATGGCCATGGGTATAATTATGTACAGCAACTCGTGGCTTCAGGTCTTGGGCATCCTGCCTGAGGTCCAGATGACACTGCAAGATCTGCCGTTTGACAAGCAGACTGACAGTGAACTGCAGAGTCTCCAGGACTTGTGCACAACATTGAAGTCCTTGGGCATCCATACCCCTGCTCCGTAGTGCCATCCACTGAACCCTGGGCCACAGAGGGCATACCAGCAAGGCCCCAGGCACGCCAATAGGCGGAGGCATAGGAGAAAAAATGGTAGGGGCACTAGGAGGAGCCCTTGCTTGGCCTCTGATCAAACTCAAGAGCCCCCCACTAAAACTCAAGGCTCGAAGTCAGGCTTTCGAAGGTCCACTTGAGGGCGGATTACCAGCTCCAGCACTTGATCGCCCCTTCTCAGACACTGTCCCCTTTCCATCATTCTTGGCACTCTATCACCTCGGACTGGTGGGGGCCTCATCCCGAAGTCCAAAGGGGGCCTTTGCCCCATCCTAGACCTCAGGGGGCTCAATGCCTTCATAAGGCAGTCAAGGTTCAGGATGGTGATGCTAGCCTGCATCATTCCCTCCCCCAATCTAGGGGACTGGTATGCCGCCTTCAGTTTGAAGGATGCATACTTCCACATTGCAATTGTCCCTACTATGGGACGTTCCTGTGTGTCTTGGTGGGTGGGGACCACTACCAGTTTGCAGTGCTGCCGTTTGGCCTTTCCACCGCCCCCAGGGTATTCACCAAATGTATGACAGTGGTAGCCGTCTTTCTGAGAGGAGTTCCTCTGTTCAGACAGGTACTGATGGAGAGTAGGAAGCCCTCCACCAGGGTGACATCAGGCCAAATGGAGGATTCATGCGATTCCTGTTCGTGCCATTAACTGTGTGTTCTTCCTCTCATTTCTCATGGAAAGTGGCCTTTCCTGTGGCTATCACCATGGCTAGGAGGGTGTCTGAGTTGCGAGTCCTTTCTTTGGAGCCATTGTACACTGTGTTCTCTAAGGGCAAGGTGACATTGCGTCCACACCCAGCCTTTCTACCTCAAGTGCTGTCCCTGTGTCCCAAGAGATCATCCTACCAATCTTCCACCCTAAGCTGTATGCAAATGAGAAAGAGCAGGCGCTTCACACATGAGCTGGCAGGATGGCTCTCACCTTTTATTTAGTGATAGAAATGTAGCTGTGTAGTCTGTTTTGTGGGCATGGATCAGACACTTCGCCAAAGGATCAATGCCCACAAAACAGATAGACAGGATCACAAAGAAAAAACAGTTTCTTGCCATTTCAACCAGAAAGGACACTGTCTCAACGACTTGATTACCTGCATCCTGCTTCAAAGGCCTTTTAAGACTTCACTTGAAAGAGAATCCTCTGAACTGTCATTCATGCTTAAATTCGACACTTTACACTCAAGTTTGAATAAAGACGCTAATTATCTCACCCATTACAAAGATAGCTTCCCCAATTATCACCTCTAATATCATTAGCTCACAGACATTTACCTCCCCCCCCCCCATCTCCCTTCTGTTCTGAAATTTGATTTGTCCTTTTCATGTGTTCATTTTTTTAAATTGTATCCTTTGGTATATATGGTTGTGACAATTTTCTTCCACATATTGATCTGAGGAAGTGGGTCTGGCCCACGAAAGCTCATCACCTATTAAACCATCTTGTTAGTCTTTAAAGTGCTACATAGTCCTGTTTTTTGTTTCACCTTTTATTTAGAGAAGACAAAGCAGTTTCACAAGTTGACCCAGCTCTTTGTCTCCATAGCAGAAAGAATGAAGGGCCTTCTGCTGTCAGCTCAGTGCCTGTCCTCATGGATCACAACATGCCTTAATGCATGTCATGATCTAAGGGGAAAGCCGGTCCCGCCGCTCACGGCCCATCCTACCAGGACCCAGGCCTCCTCCATGGCATTCTGAGTGCAGGTGCGATCATAGACATCTGTAGAGTGGCTACATGGTCATCAATCCATCCTTTTACTAACCATTATGCAGCAGGCTAGACAGGATGCAATAGTTGGCAGAGTGGAGTTGCCATCTGTTTCTTTTAGGTTCCAATCTTGCCACCTAAGTGGAACGGACATGAGCACGCACTCGAAAGAAAAACGGTTCCTTACCTCGTAACTGCTGTTCTTCAAGAGGTGTCGCTCACGTCCGTTCCAATCCCACCCACCTTCGCTCCATCGGAAGTCTGGTAAGAAGAAACTGAGGGGGCACATATGCGTTGACGTGCCGACGCCACTCCAGGGGGCACCCCAGCTGGCCCAACCGGTGCTGCTAAGGGTAAAATGCTTCTGGAACTTGTGCACTTAAGTAGAATGGACACAAGCAACACCTCCCTAACAGCTACGAAAGCAGGTAACTGTTTTTTCTCACTCCACATGTGTGGTGGTGGATACAGCCCCTGGCTCTCAGTCCACAGGGTGGGGAAGGGGGAATAGCCCCTGGGTCTCATTCTGCCCTGGCCATAGGCTGCACCACTAATAGCCTGGCAGCAGGCCCCAGGCAAGCAACATTGCTCCTGCCTCAGCAGGGTGAACAAGCATCTCTCTGGCTAATGCCCCAGCGCTCACCCCACTGCTGCACCAACCCTGCCCTCCACAGCTGGCACTGCCCCCCCCTTTCCCCCAGCATCAGTAGCCCCAAACTCTGCCCCCAGCCCTCTCCCCTAGGAAGCTCTCCCTGACAACAGCCTTGTGCCTCTCGCAGTGATCCTACTGGACCCAGAGGCGGTGAGCACTCAGCGGAAACGCCTCTTCTCCATGCTGCAGGCAGAGGTGGCTGGGCAGAACTGGTAAGTGTGCTGGTGGAGGACAAGGATTCCAGTTCCTTGCGCTAGCACTCCAACCACCCGCCCCATACAAGCCCATGGCTCAACCTAGCTGTGCTTCTTCTCTGCCTCCTTCCCTCTCCCCCTGGCAGGGGCTTGGCCAGTCCCTTAACGCAGCCCTGCGGCTATGAGAGAGCAAAGCAAAGTGCTGGCAGGGCTGGACTGGTCCCAGCTCCGGGACAAGTTGGTTCCACACAGGCCCCGCGTGGCTCCCACAGGAGAGCACCACACTGGAGGGGCCCCAGGTAGAGGGGCTTACTGTGGGGAGCCGGCACAGGAGCAAGACGCTGCCCCCCCCGCTGCAGGCTGCAGTTTGTGGTGGGGAGGGAGCCCCTGCCCGGGACCAGAGGCGAGTGCGAGGACGTGGGCTTTGCCTACCTGGATCTGCGGGAGATCCTGCTGTCAGGCAGCGACGTGCTGGAGCAGGAGCTTGAGGGTGAGTGGCTGGGATGGGGCGGAGGCGGGGGGGCCCCAGCACCCATCCCAGCTCTACCTTTGCAGGTGCCGGTTCCCCTGCTGCCAGCTGCAGGAAAGGGGGCGGAGGAAGCGGCAAGGGCTGGGACCCACATTTGGGAGCCACAACCGGGGGGGGGGGAAGGAGAGAAGTCCTACCCCAGGCTCAGCCCGGGGAATGGCACTGGAGAAACATGCCCCTCCCCCCTTCCCCTCTCCCAGCAGTTGTCAGCCCTCAGGACCACTCTGCCATTGGGCGGCTGACAGTCTCCGTGGAAGCAGCCGCTGCCCTCCGTGACATCTACTGGGAGGGGAGGCGAAAGGCTGAAGAGGAGGAATGAGGGACCCACCAGCCCTGCAAGGACTTGGGACTGGTGCACTGGGCTCCACCTACGTTCCCTTTACTCTTTTCCGTCCATGTGCAGAACGCTGTTCTCCGCAGCAAGGTGTGTGCGGATGTGCACCACCAGGAGAAACAAAACCTAAGATGGGGGTGCCCTGACCACAAGCTGGCCCTGCCCAGCTTCCAGGGAACACTGGTCCCTCCCCACCCACTGCACAGACTCAGCAGCTGGAAAAGGTGAACTTACAAAAAACCATTTTATTGTTTCAATTTTCCAAAGTCGAAAATCCAAGAGCTACCGGCTATGAAAAAAAAAAAAAGTCCTCCCTGCCCCCATCTCCCCCCTGCCTCCGCCCAGGGCTTCCCTCCCCAGCAGGCGCAGGTGATGGGGGCCCAGGGGAGATGACAATAAAACTCCCCCAAACTAAAGCATCTCCTGCCACAGGCTTGACTTGGCAACCAAGGGGACAGATAAATACGGGAAAGAGCCAGGCGAGTAAAAAACAAAGCAGCCACATCCCCATTCGCCATGCTCCTTGAGGGCTGGGCCGCTCCCACCACAGGAAGGCAGCTGCAGGGATGGGCCCAGCCTGTCTTGCTTAGCGGCCCCCTGAAGGACGGGGCACTTCTGGTGCTGGAGGCTCCCTGGAGGAGAGAGCAGCAGCCTGCGTCTGGGCGACACTGGGCAGAGGTGGGGGAAGAAGGGGGCAGAGGAGCCAGCTTGGGGTGGGGGGAGCACGTCACCGACACCAGCGTCCTTACTCCCAGAGGCCTCTTCATTGGCAGATCTCGTGTCCATGGTTACAGGCAGGTGGGGCCTGGAATTCTCACAGCTGATTGGTCCGTACAAATGGCCAGAAAAACTCAAGAAACAAAATGAGGGAACTGAAACAGGGAAAGACAAATGTTTGTGGGGGGGAGGGGGGAGGGGCTGGTGCTCCCCACCCTGGGATTGGCTGTTCAGCAAGGTCTGGTGCCCCAGGATTGGCCACTGGGGAGGGTCAGCGTTCACTGCCTACTTCCTCTTCTTCTTGGGGGGGCCTGAGCTGCGGCCCGGGCTGCGACTGTGGGAACTGCGGCGGCCGGAGCTGTGGGCTGGGCCTTTCCTCTTTCTGCTCAGGCTGCGGCTCTGCTCCTCCTCTTCCTCGTAGCGGCTCTCCCGGTCCGCTAGGGAAGACAGACGGGTCAGGGCCCTGGCCTGCCAGCAGCACCCTCCAGTGCCAGCAGGGGGCGCTGTCCCCTCCCACAGGGGTCAGAGTTAACCGGCTGCTACTACTTCGGCAGCCACGAGGACACGTCGACCCCTCGGGACACACCTCAATAGCTGGCACTCACCCTTCCTGGCCTCCTCCTCCAGCTCGTCCCAGTCCTTTCCACTCTCCTCCTCGCTGCCCATGGACTCCTTGGAGTAATCTGCAAGTGGAGACAGGAGCTCAGAGGGTGGCCGGGTGCGCAGCAGCTCCCCATGTCCTCCAGCCAACTGGGGGGCCATTCCAGCTCACCCCTCAATGCCAGTCATGGTGGGGGAGGGAATCGGGCAGCAGTGGAGACAGACTGTGTGTGCAGGTGGTGAGGGGGACTGTGCTTTGCCAGAGGACCCCTCAGGGTCAGCGCTCCCCCTGCCAGGGCCTTGGTGCCACAAACCCTCCACCTCTGGCTGAAGCTGCAGGAGCCTCCTCACCGGATTCCTCGGCCTCAGAGGAGTAATCTTCATCGCTGTCCTCCTCCTCCTCCTCGTACTCATCCTCCGAGGGGTTAAACGTCTCATCCTCAATCTCCGACTCGGACTCCCCGACCTCGGCGTCGCTGCCCTGTGCGAGACCCAGCCCGAGCTCAGGACTCCTGGGCTCTAAACCAGCTCTGGAGTGGGGCTGGGTAGGTTCTCCCCCCAGCAGCCCCTGGGAGACTAGGTGTGGGTGAGGCCCAAAGGGCATGCGATTCTTCCCAACCACCATCCCTTTGCATGGGCTGCTCCCCTTCGGGAGATACCCCCGCCCTTCACGCACCCCTTCCCCCCATACCTCTCCCTCGGGCTCCAGGAACGACCAGCCTCCCTGCTCAAAGAAGCCCTCAGGATCATCCACGATCGTCTTCATGATTTTGGTCCAGTTGAGGGACTGTACCCCCTCAGTGTACTTCAGGTCACAAGAGCTGGGGGAAAGAGAGAGCAGGGTTGGGACCCAGTGGCTGAGGGGGCTGAGAGGGGGGAGTGACAGGAGGCTCCACAGTGGATAAAAATCCGTGAGTGAAAATAAAGGCAGATTTATTTCAATGGGATTTATTTTAATTTAAACTAGACAAAGGTTATTTTTTTAAATGCAGCTATTTAAAATGTAATTTGAAATTAGGACAATTTCTGTTAAGGCCTAAATTTACTAGAAGCTACATATGTTAAAAACATTGAAAAAGTTTCCTTTGCTTAATTAGTTTGTAAAGCAAAACCTGTTTTGATATTGAGAACTTGTTGAAGCAATACAGAAGCATTTTAATACTGAATGTCTACCCAAAGAGCTTGACAGAAGACAGAAGTACATGAATTATCGAAGTGTAGATCCTTCATCATTTCCTACCAGAATCAAAATGTACAATTAAGCATCCGAATAAACTACAAATGGCTTTAGAAACTGCACAGATACAGCTCGTGAGTTCTCCCGAATAGCGGAAAGGCTACACGGAGTCGCACGTCAACTTGTAACCGCTACCAGCCCATCTTTCTTTAGGGGATTCCCCCTCAAAAAGTGCAAATGCAGACAACATGATTAAAGTGGATTTAAATCAAGCCCCCAACGCGTCCTCGAGTGATGTGAAATCCTAGGGTGTGTGGTGCAGCCACCGGGGGAGGTGTCACTCATCTGAGGCGCTGGCATTGGGGGTGTGGTGGGGAGCGTGGGTGCTGGGGAAATTGGGAGAGGAGAGGGATCGGGGGGCCACTCACTTGAGCCACTCCTTGATGGGGTCGAGGGAGGCCACGGGGATGGCGTTGATCATGGTCACTTTCCGGCTGTAGTCCTTGTACACAATGACCATGTCGAAGTTCTTGAGGTGGAACTGGACTCGCTCAAAGTGGATCAGCTCCACCTCGTCCAGCGTCACCACGAACGGGGGCTGCAGAGCAGAGTGGGGTGGGGTGAGAGAGGACCCAGACCTCCCACCCCAGCCCCGGGACTGAGCTC